CTGAATTATAAAGGTTTGAGTTGGCTGCTCTAGTTTACGGAATTAATTTCGTTTGAAAATTAATTCTATCCAGAAAACAGTTTTGAATCTAATATTTTTGAGCTTGAGGATGAACAAATAGTCGATAAATAGAGGCTAATATTGTGTGGAATCATTCAACACCGTAGGATTTAGTAGGTATAATTGGATATGATTTAAAAAAAATTCCTAATAGTTCCCACTAATGAAATTACATTTTTCCAACGTATAAAATTGAGGAGTACATTTCCAAGATAAACCTATATGGAATGGATTAATTGTTTGCTGTTTTTCTGATTTCCCGAACAGTTGTTATTTGATCACGTGGAATTTTCAAGGTAATATTTCCCTATAAGTTTTAGCGTGCTAATTATTTTCTCCAACAACTGCGATATGTTAATTTATATAACTCGGAAAATTAATAATAATTTCACCCGGCTTATCCTATTTTCCAAGAAAAGCAGCTTTTTGATTGGTTTTAATTCACATAAACAATAAACCCTTATCTATTATCAGTTTTCATTTTATCGATTCGCAGGCTATCTCTGCTTGATCATACAGTTATTCGTACAATTTAATAATTATAGAAATATGTATATGGTTTTCGATCACTACAATGTTCTAGATATGAACGATTTTCTTTTTGAATATAGTTTTGCAAAATCATAGTAGTAGTAATTAATTGTTTATTTATGTGAATTGGGTTTCAAAGAGAATTAGAACAAAAATTGTTGAAAAAGAGTGCAAATTGTTCTCAAGCAGATATAATTGAAATGTATTAATAGGAGACAAAGTATGAAAGAAAAATTTGTACAGATTCGAGACATTATTGAGGTTTTTTTCATATTCGTTTACCAATATTCAGTGCTGAAGCCTTGAAGAGAACTAAACCACGTAACAAATAATAAAGTAGTGTGAATTAAGCTAATTCATAATATCGAGAAGGTTGGTATGTTTGAAGAATTAATTTATTAAATAACTAAAACGTTTTTTTATTTCTCACTTACACACAATTACTTCTCAAAATGTTAATGAAGATACAGGGCAGAAAGACCGATTGGGTCGATAGCCTTTTTCTATAGGAAATAAAGATTATTTATATATATGAAGATACATTCGAGATAAATTGTTGACAATTTCCTTTAATAACCTGTAATTAGCCGAGCTAACGAATACAATTGCTACAAAATGAATTTAAATCCTTTAACATCGCTTTATGCAGTATCTTTGGATTAATATTAACCTTATGGTTAATAGGATCAGTTTCGTCAAATTTCGTTGACAATTTCTCGGTGCACAGCGGCTGGTTTTTGCCAAATATTGCTTAAGCAACTTGCAAGTAGACCGAAATTGATAGTCTGTTATGTACTAGTAAAGGGTGTTGTCAATGTAATGTATGTGTTAAAAGGTATTGTCAAGAAAGATGAATATTTTGAAATAGCTCAAAGCATCTCAGTTTCTTCAAAATCAACATTGTGACCGGTGGGACTACGTAAGAAATAGATCTGGCATGATTTAACATAAAATATAATCACCATTTGCATTGTTAAATTTGGTAACATAAATTCAATATCTAAGCCTTTCAACAATTTAATATACTTTGTCTATAAACGTTTTTAACTAGAACATTTTAAAAATCTGTTATCAAAATTAGAAGACTGAAATAGCAAAATATACAACGCCTTTTGTTACTTATCATTTAACGCGCATTTATGTGCACACTCTCAGAAGTCAATCTCACAAGGAGAGAGGGGTTGCTTCAAAAACTGTACCCATGTGAAGACTATGTGCACCTTTGCACTGTGACATGACGAATCTGAATGATTTATTTTTTCTTAACCTGAAGCGATAAAGCCAAGTACTTCTCTTCAAAACCCTTTATTCAGGGCAAAACCAGACAAAGGTAAGTATTTATGAAAAGTCGATGCTAATCATTCTTATCAATTTACAAATATATTAAAGGCCCTAATAATTTTCAACTTAATAAAATAACATTCTGGTCCCTATTCATAAAACGTGTACGGCACTGAATAACCCTACAGTAAATCGATTTTATTTTTAGTAATATTTAATAAAAGAGATAAGAAACAGTTTCTATCCTAATAAAACCACCTGTATTTACCTATGGAAATAACAAAGGGAAATGAAGCCTAGTATGGCACGCATAAATTTTAAATAAAACGCAACATATTCTTGGAAGTAGGGAAAATATTGATCATTTAAAAAGGCTAGATTGGATACATAATTACGAATGGAGACCAGGGCGTTAGGGTGAAAGCTAATATTGTTGAAAATTTTTTTTATATTTTTAATGATTTTGGCTTTCATTTGACTGGAAGTACTTGTGATACCTTGAGATCATATTTATTACAAATATACAATATTTAGTGCTTTTTACAAATAAGTATCTCGGCAATAAATTAAAAATACTTTTCAAGAAACTGCGTAGATAAAAAATATTAATGTAGGTTTTATGCAAATAGATTGCTTACAAATTGGAATATTAGAAAATTGGACTACTTTAACATTGGTATTGATCCGGATATCGCCAATCAGCATAAAATTGTACTGCTATAATAAGGGTAGTTTTGGTTAGTAATAAAGCATGAAAAATACGAAAATTTTATAATAATTCATTTAATCACGAAATCGACTAAAATTTTACACGAACACTTTCAGGTCGACTAGTCACACACAGCAGTGACGTGCGAACATAAGTTAATAATTTCAGGTGTGCCGCGAATATATTCCCTTCGAAAATTTTACAAAACTCGACCTTCATACAAGGGGTCATTTGTGGGACTTAAAAAAGTTAAATGACCGAAAGTGTATACATTTTAATAGTATAAAAATAGGTGTGGTTTATTATTTAATACACATGTGTAATCGCGCTAACATTACTTTAATTGTTGCAATTTCAAACCACCAGACCTTGAAGACATAATTGTAATAAAATGCTTCCAAAATATCTCAGATTTGGTCACAGCTGGAATTTTTCTTAAGCGTAAAAAAACGTTGGAAATAAAATATGAGAAAAACTGTTTTCAGAAGATTCAATTAATTTAATATTTTCAAGGATCTTGAATGCCTTAAAGTAAGCACAATATAATTTTCCTCACAGCTATTTAAAATTGAGATGAATTTATGAGAAATTCAGGGAGAAAGAGACTCAGCAATATAACGTGAAGCTATGTACGATTTCATTCACTTTCAAAAAATTTCAGATGACGAAACGGGACACTTCTACTTTTATTAAATTAGGATCATATTAAAAATGGTTTGGGAATTTTTTCATTTCAAATTTTTATTGTAGTTATTACATCATAAGATTGGAACGTAGCTGAATTTATGAAATATTTTAATACGTGCCTTGAACTTGATATTTTTGTATTAAAATATCTGATTTTCATATCGAAGCTACAATATCATCTCTTTGAGCTGAAATTTCAGAAATATGGATGGAAGTTACATGTTTAAGAAGCCTTTCTTGGAATATTTAACTTCGATTTGGACACCTTTATTTTTACGATGTTCTAGTACCTACAACTATTCAATGATGTATGATTGAGCACTATATTGTCAGTCTATTGAATAATATTAAATTGAACTTCTATCTTAGAACTTGTCGTATTTAAAGGGGGGGCATTTGAAGGAAACGAAAGACTGTATTACATCCTAAGAGAAAAATGATCAGGCAACTTTGCGCACTGTAGGTTATATCGCTAATTTGTAGCTGTTTTAAATAATTAATATTCTTAAATAAAGTATTACGTGGAATTTAATTAGCTCTGAAAGAGGTCACTGTTGCAAGTAAGATTTCTTTCTACAGATGAACACAAAATGTAGATAATAAAATGGGAAAATATTAACGAAGTCTGAGTAAAATGTGAAAGCGTCCGCAGTAATAAAGAGTAAAATATCGTGGCTGTATGATAAACATGATAAAAGAAACTGCTTTTAACACCCTCCTGGCTCTTATTGCTTTACTGGCCACGAATCTTGCGAAGGGGAAGTTGTTGGCGGGCAAAGTTGACCGATCGGCCATGAACATAGTAGGCCTTTAGTTTAGTAAGTAGTACGAATATGTGTGTGAGTGCGTGTGTTTCCAGCATGGCCAAACGGATCAATAATCCTCCCACACTGGCAAGACCACTGGTCAGAAAAATGGCCAGTCGCGCAACCTTCATTTTAAGACACAAGTGACAGACACGAGACACGCCTAGCCAAAAATACTAATTCTTTACGTTCCCCGTTGCCTTAGCGATTAATTAGATTTGCGCTGCTACCTTCCTCCCCATCCTTTTCTTTTGCTTTTATCCCCCTATCCCCATATATGACCGGAAAATTACGGAAAATACCATTGATTTGAAATCCCGCACGGCCCGATAAAAATTCAAATATTAATGGAAGATTTTTCTAATTAGTGGTTATTTACTTTGGTTTTAATTTAGTATAAATGTTAAGCAACTGAACGAAAAACCTGAGGTGTTCAAAAAATGTAAACAAGAATGCAAGAGAGTGAGCGAGTAGCCGTAGGGTACATGAAAAGAGGACAGGTAGAACACGTGCATCAGTTCATGCATAAATAATGTCTATTTAAATTTGAGGTCTTCTCAGCTGATTTTCCAGCACTGCATATGCCATTTCCATATGCTTTCCGGACAAAGTAAATATATAATTTTTGCACAAAAAAATATTATTGATTCTCATCAAGTTGATTCCAAAGCTACACACAACTAAACATACTGCAAACTTAGAATAAGCGCACTACTCACTATAATTAATAAAATGCAATTTGCAAAATTTTCCGTATATCTAACAAAACTGTCTGGAGGGTTAACCTTAAAACCCCTAGCTTAAAGCTCCCAAGCTTGAGATTTTCTATGAATCACCCTTTGTGTTGCGGCAAACAAATAAAATAAAAGTGTCTGGCATTCCAAAATGTGTCCACAGTTTGTGTTAGTATCTGGAAAGATACTTACCAAAGACCGTTCGCCAAGTTTTAGAAAATTGTCATTGCTGGCACACTGGCACCTATACGACACTGACGAGGTGTACCTACTGATAAATTAAAGAGACAGCCTGGAAAAAGGGTCCGTTTGCGCAACTCCATCAAATTTAGATGACAAAAAGCCGTTATTTGTTAAAGAAGTGCGTCGATGTTATGTTCCTACATTATCGCGTCTTTTTTTCAACCGCAAGGACTTTTACAGTCAAGAGACGTAGCTTGTACATTTCCCTTATTATGGCACCCCCTTAATTATTTTCTGGCACAACTCTTGTTTTTTGTCTTTTGTCGGTTTTATTAACATTAATGTAAATCTGCATCTCATCAAATATAAATCAATCAAAATGATGAATTTTACACCCATTTACATTGAATAACATGACACATTCATGTCATTTTTTAAAAAAGGAGGGTCTTAATATGCTTGCTTGATCGTTCATAATTAAGGCTTTAAAATCGCTAAAATATATCGCTCAATGCGCAACTGAGAAAAAAAGATTTTATATGTTTTATTATAGTACATAGCTTTCCTCGCCGTAGCGATTCAGGATCGGTTCTAGACACGTACGGAACCGATAACGAACAGAATTAGGGCGCAGGCTTGGTCCAGAACCATTTCGCTCCGCGAGCGCTTTTAGAACCAGCTTTTAGTAAGTACCAACAAGATTTTGCTTACTTGTGCCTAACAGTGAAAGTAGAAAAGGGGATTTGCTATGTTTTTTATGATTATGGCTTATGTGTGACATTTTTACTTTCAGGGTGAATAGAAAAATAAAGTCATAAATTTTAATTAGGAAAAGTAGCACTGCCATGTTCTGAACCACTTCTTACAGTGGTGTACTAAACGGTTATTTTTCGGGTTCCAACGTTGCAGTTCCACTTTGGTAATAGGTTGCAAAAGTAACATGTTACTTTTAAAATTTTTCACTAAAAAATTTCCATGATGGTAGAAGCCGTGATGATATATAATGATTTAGTTTATTTAAAAAAATAATCCTTAACATTGGTAAACTGAAAATAACATATTCTAAAAACGAAAACGAAACATTGGTCATAATAGGTAACTACTTAAAGAAGAAGCAACTGATAATAAATTGGATGGATAAATTAAATAAATCTAATTTTCATTTAAAAATGTATTAACATTTAAGAATACTTTTTTTGCGGATGCTTTTTACGTCTAGTTCTTCGCTCGTATATGATAGCACCCGCCTTGAAAAATAATCTCTCGCATGGTACGGAAGTAGCTACAATGTTAAATTTCAATTTTTCTAATTTTGTAATGAGCAGGTAATTGACATCTAAGAATTTCTAACGGTACCTCTGATAAAGGTGTGTCTAAAAAGAACTGGTACGAAATTAATAAATATCGCATAAAGATTACAATAATTAAAAAATACGTCCGTTATTTTGTTGATAAAATAAGTTTGTCAAAATTGTGAAAAATTGAATAATATTCTTCTTGTCTATAATTTAACGGAACGTCGTCTGACTGATGGGGCCCCACAGTTTTGTAATAGCATTTCAACTATTTACGCGTGTTATTAAGTCAACAATAAGATTAAATAATCCACATTAACAGAAACGCGTGTTTTGCAATCCTGGTTGAAGCTACACCCGAGTTAAGTTTCTTAATCAGAGAAATCCCTTTGTAAAAAAGATTTATTAGAGATCGCCAGAGAACAGTAATATTTATAGACTAAAAATGCTGAATTAGATCATCACCGCAACTAAACAATATTTCACTGATCTGAATGATTATGGTTCTTAGAGAACAGAACCAGTAATTCTTATAGACCAAAAAGTGATCAACACGAATGCGATCAGTCCCGAACCAGTTCTGAACCGAACTGCAAATAAAGCTAATTTTGCGCAAAGTTAACTGCTGTAAGGGTCGGTTGCACAAAAGCAAGTTCAACGACGGTTCAGCTGAACCGAGTTCAATTTTTCACAGGTTGTACCACGCCAATTGGAACTCGGTTGAGTTGAACTGGACTAATCAATTTTTTTCTGGGATTGATCAAACTTTAAGTGGCAGTTATGTGTGTGGAACACATTATCAAGTGTGAAAAATGAGCTTGTTTCAATGCTTTCAACCAAGTACAACTTGATAAAGCTTATTTTTCTCCGTGGAGAGCTACGAAGAAGCATGACGATTTTTCACATTGATTGATGATTGAAGTCGCAGATATTTTCAATAGTCTGCAATAGAAGGTGTTCTCTTCTGAGAGTGGGTTCTCATAATGTATGTTATTCAAAACTAAAAGTTATGTATAAACTTTGTTGTCTTTTAATTGATTTTTTTTAAATACATTCCAAGTAAGCTAAGTTTTTACCTACCGATTTGTTGCTGCATCTCTCGGGTCAGTTGTATTGCGCAACTCTGCTGTTTACGCTAGCGCAATTTTGCTTGATAAATGATCGGAATTAAATGACCAACTTAACGACCTTAAAATCGTGTCATCCGCAACAGACTTAAACTAAAATAATAATACCAGTGTATTTTCAAGTGCTCGACTACGGAGATGCAATACCATTTAAAAACAATAAATAATGGATTACGAAGAGTTGCACATCCATACGTCGATGTTACCTCTAAAAATATTGGCAGCAATTCCCCAATATCGGCCTTACCTTGCCTTGCAACTTAAAATATCTCCAAAAAACAGAGTTTCATCTGAAGAATTGTACGAAAATAAAAGGCGTCCTAATGCTTGCAATTAATTGCCCAATACAAAATTTCTTACAAAAATTGTGTTCACCGAGTGTGTGCAATAAATGCATGCGATGCGACAGTTGCTGCAACGAATGCGTAAATATAAATAACTCAGATATTGAGTACCGAGAACCTAGTTGCGAAAAATGTAATATTTTTATAATAAAATAGAATGGCCGTTTGAAAGTTAAGAATATGAATTTATGTTACAGACAAAACAAGTTAAATAAAATTAACGATTTTTTCAATTAACTACTTGCTTCAAGATATGGCCCATTGTCCTAACATTTTTGCAAATACATTCGGGTTCGCATTTATTCATGCCCAAGTGTGCAAATGATACTTGCCGTAACATTGTATCAAACGAAGTGAGACATAGAAGCAGGCAAAAAAGTTATACTGTAGAGATGCTCGGTTAGAAAAAGTAACTATTCGTTATTCGCGGCGATCCAACCTAGCCAGCACCGAACGTAATTGCGCAAAAAATACTTGTTAACGTACGTCAAGTCACCAATTTTGTCACGTCCCGTCGACATGATTATTGCCACAAAACGTAAGCGTGAATTAACGTCTATAAAAGACGTAAACGGACCCGACAAAGTATCCAAAATATCGCTTATCCCTTGTCCTTCCTTCGATTTGCTTTGAAATAATGTTTGCTTCAAAAAAGTTGACCAATAAAATCCAAATACAGCATAAAAGTTTTAAGAAACAAAACACATTATTTCGGAAATAAAAAGTACAACCTTTATTGAAACTAATAACAAAGTCTTAAAAGCTCCAGAAAACCAAATGATTTTAAAAAATTTTCGTTTTAAATCCAAGTTATAGTTAGATAAAATTTTGCATTGCCGCTGGATAACGTGAAGAATGAGAACAAAATAAATGCGCAATTAATATAAAGAAGTTTTGTATAAAGCGCTGTTAAACAGAATGTAGAACATTATGCTACTCAATTCCTGGCATCTATGGATAGTAAAATATAAAAATCACAAAATAAAACAAATACATAAAAATGCACTTAGTTCCAACAAAATTGCTGACCAGTTTTTTTGCTAAAGTTCACTTTTATAGCAATTAACCGAATTTAATTTTGTTGTCTTAGATTACTGCTTAATTTTTTTGGATATTATTTCAAGAGTAAAAAATGTTGATTCGCTATTTGATTGAAACACCCTGTGTTTTACCATTTTACTTCAATCTATAATAGAGTCAAGGCTTCTGAAACTGCGTCCTCTTGTGAACATTGTCTCTTATATTATTTTTGTATCAAGATTTTGCTTTCAATAAAAAAATGTCTGTCGCACCCGAACAGCCCTTTCAATTAGTTAATTTAGTGAATGATGGTTGCATCAGCTAGTTAGTAGACAAACGGATTGCAGACGGCTGCAACAAATAAATTTGAAAGGAAGAAGGCCTGCAAGAGGTCCCTAAATTATTGAAAGATTCCCCCCTTCGCGAAGCAACTTTGATCGAAATTATGTCCAATGAAATGTTCAAGATTGGTCTGATGTCTTAATCACAGACGAACTAAGGTATTGTCTAAATATGGTTGATAATACCTAAATATGTATCCGAAAATCGATAATGGAATATGAAAAAAGTTCATATTTTTCCATTGGCCAATCAATGGCAACCTAAGTTTATATTACGATATCTTCCGGCAGCACGTTCAATCTTTTGTCGAATTAGCCCACAGATCATCCCCTTTAGCAGCATAACTGAAATGGGTAAAATTTGTACTTAGATGGCAGCACCATGCCGTGTTGCAGAATACAACTGTTTCCCTTAAATTATCAATTCAATCAATTCTCAGCTTTTATCTATGTGTTTGTGTGCTTGCTTGCTGTGTGGCGCGCTTTATTTGCGGTTCGCTTTAACGATTCAGGATCGGTTCTGGACAAGTACGGAACCGATAACGAACAGAATTAGGCCCCAGGCTCAGTTCAGAACAATTTCGTTCCGCGAACGCTTTTAGAACCAGCTTTTAGTAAGTACCAACAGGATTTTACTTACTTTGCGCCTAACAGTGAAAGTAGAAAAGGGGATTTGCTGTGTTTTTTGTAATCACGATTTCTGTGCGAAAAGTGGCAGTTTTTGATTAATTTGAATAGAAAGTAGTTATTAAGTTTTTTATGTTTGCATATAGCGGATTTAATTAACTAATTGTCTTCCGTGGAGAGGAGACGGATCCTTGCGTTTGCCAGGGAGACGGGACGCCTTGAGGCACATTGATAGAAAATTCACATCAAAATTATAATTTTATACACTTTTATATAAGAATACACTGTGAGAAATACATTCATTTATAAATTTAGTTGTG